ACATGGGAGGAATAATTATCCCTGTAATGAGATAACAAACTTTTCCTTCCCAGAACCCCTACTAAATACAAAGACTTGGAAAAATCTAACGAACCCCCAGCAACCTCACTTCTAGGAATCTACCCTGAAAAAAAATGAAAGATGACCAGTGATTTGCACAAGTTTGTGTAAGGCAATGTTTGTCATAGTGAGGCACCAGACATACTGTGGGACACACAGGTTGTCCTATAAACACACAGGAAAATGTCTGTGAACCACATCGTCTCCAGAACTCACTTTTAGATTTACGATGTGAGCCCACAGCAGAACTTAGAGGGAGAAAGAATAAGAATACATTTAGGCATTTCCACTAAAAACAGTTCCCTGTGGAGATGGAGGCTGTTGGGGGAGAGGGTCGGAAGTGACATCTCTGAACCTGATTACCTTTTTGCTCAGTTTTTAACTTTGGCACTGTGTAAACATTTCATATATTCACAACTTAAAAATAAAATCCTAAAATGGAAAACAAATTGGTACAAATGAGCCTTACTTCATTTCAAATGTGGCAGCAACAGTTACCAGACAAAAGTTATTTCAGAAGTCTCGTTATGTACCTCAGCAGGGGATGGTCTAAGGATAAATGAAAGCCAAGGTGTTTTTGTTATTTATTGTTAATACAGTATTAAATTTCTAAACTCGTAGAGATATATGTAATTCAGAGCTGGAAGAAATGGTACATAACTGTAAACCCAAATATTAGGGGGCAGGTGAGATGGCTCAGCAGGTGAAGGCACTTGGGGCCACGGCTAAAGCCTGAGTTTACGCAAGGGAACCCACATGGAACAAAGTCCTCAAGCTGTCTTCTGACCTAAATAAGTGTAAGACAAGGTTAGAACAAGCCATTATTTGAATCGAGTTGTTCTACACAAAACCATCTTCTTTAAAGGCTATTTGCTTTTCTCAGACCTGCCCACTGGAAGGGCCCACAAGAATGGCAGCACACTGATAACACACCTCACTGCAGATCTTAATGTCAAAGTGTCATTTCTCACCAATAAGAAACACGTCCCTGCCTTTAAGAGGTGAATGTTGAGCTGTTAAGGGTCAATTTCCCAGTGGCTCAGCTGCACTGTGGATGTCAGTGAGTGGCAAGCAACCCAGCCCATGCCCTGTGCTTGGTGTGACCTGAGCCGGCACACAGACCTGAGCCGCACACACTCTCTTATACACATGGCCTCCAACTGAAGGCAGAGCCCAGAGAACACTAGGGGAAGGTCTAAATGTCCGTGTTCCTGGTCCTTGAGATATAAAGATCTTTCTAATTGAATTTTATTTTTATTTCATATGTATGGGTGTTTTGCCTGCATGTATGTCTACACACCACATGCATGCCTGGTGTCCACAGAGATCAGAGAGGGCATCGAATCCCCTGGAACTGGAGTTACAGGTGGTTGTGAGCTGCCATGTGGGGGTGGTGAATCAAACCCAGGTCCGCTGGAAGAGCAGCCAGTGTTCTTAACCACTGAGCCTCCTCTCCAGCCCTGAAATGCAGAGAACTTCAAGGTGAACAACTCCAGGCAGGTGCTGATCTGCTAAAGGCTATTGGCATCCTTCCAACTGAGTTATTTTTAGTGAACCAGTGGTACTTCAGCCTTGTCAGTTGAAAGCTTCATCGAAATATCATTTCCCAGCATTTTTAACTTTTCCTTTTGCTCCTCTGGCTACGGTGGGATGAGAGTTTTGCACTAGCTTTGCGGTACAGTACACAAAGGCCTCTGCTTGGGGGTTGGGAAACAATGTCATGGGGCCCTGTGACGGGCTTGTTATATAGATTTAGGGCAAGTCTTGCACCTTTTTGGATCTTAGTTTTCATCTGTCAAACGTGGGTGTGAGAGTTGATTTTCTGCCTCTGTAAACAGTGATTTGCAACTTTCTCCAAGTTGGGCAACATGTCTGCCAGTAACAGGAGCAGCAAGAGGGGCTATGAGATGGTACCTGCAGTAGGAAAAGAACCCTGCAGTCCAGGTAAGCTCAACATATGGCTCCTTAATTAGCAAAGAACAGTATTTGGGGGAAGAGTGGTGCTGGAGAGATGGCTCGGTAGTTAATAGCTTGATGCTCTCGCAGAGGACCTGAGTTCAGTTCCCAGCCCCCACAACGTGTTGCTCACAATCATCTATACCTCTAGCTCCAGGGGACCCAACACCCTCTTCTGTACTCTGAGGCACCTGTACTTACGTGGCACAGACACAGGCACACATGTACAAATAAACAGAAGTATTTTTAAAAGAACAATATTTTGGTATGTGCTTTATAAACCATTCTTAATTTCAATCGCTAAATCATTTCAACTATTAAAATATTATGCTTTTGATTATGTCTTGTAAATAAACATTTGTTCTCCAATCTACAAGGTTCTAGGTGTTTCCAGCCATTCCCACCTCCCTGTGACTGTGACTGGAGATGGCAGCATAGCCATGCTAGAACTGGCTGGACGTGTATTACATCTCAGATGACACCATGGCTGTGCCTCTGAAACATAGCAAATCTGTTTACTTGCATGACTGGGGAATTAGACAACCATCCGTGACCATCCATCAAAAACCTTAGATTCCAAAACCCACTAAGCATGCAATCTCATTGAAAACCATTTCATTGTCTTAATTATTCATTAGGTTTCTCGAGTCTGACAGACCTTCAAGGTCATCACTTGGACATTAATTATCATTGTAATGTGGCAATAGAATAGAAAAACATATTTTGAAGAAGTTCTGAATTTTTTGTAGAATGCCACTGGTGAAAGAATTCATGCCTTGACTGGGTTAGTTTGAATTTACATTTTACTACATGGTGAGAAAAAAGTGGAAAGTGAACCTCTTTTGTGTCGTGTCTGCCTCGACCAGCAAGGAAGACGCAACACCAGGCTCTTCTCCAAGCAGTTTATTCAGGAACCTTGAACAATCTTCTGACCCCGGGGAAAGCCAGCCCACGCCCTTTATAGCCACTGGGCAACCAACCCCGTAGTGCCACGTGGACAATGCCGATGGGGTCAGACATATGCAAGCAAGCCAGATTCCACGCCCAAGCCAAATAAGGAGTTGTTTATCCCAGAGAACACCTGCCATCTGGAAGGCGGAAGCCGGACGCCAGCACCATCTTTGAGGCGCGGCCGTGCACGGCTCTCTACACTTTTGCGCTTGGGATCTATGCCAGTCTGCAAAAATTCCTGTGCAGAGACCTGGAGGGAGAGGTGCCTGCTGACTGGGGTGTTATGGGATATTGTTTTAACTATGTAGATGTGTTACATTTGTTTATGCTGCAGAATATTATTTTAACTGTGTAAAGGTGTGTTTCATTTGTTTCACTTTGCCTGCCTAAGGCACCTGATTGGTCTAATAAAAAGCTAAACATCCAATAGCGAGGCAGGAGAGTGACAGGTGGGGCTGGTGGGCAGAGAGAATAAATAGGAGAGAGAAGAAGAAAGAGAATGAGGGAGAAAGAGAGGGACAGGCCTGGGACCAGAAGCCAGGCAGCTGCTAGGCAGCCAGACATGGAGATAGCAGGCAAGTAAGACAGACAGACAGAAAGGTAAAAAGCCCCAAGACAAAAGGTAGATAAAGAGAAACAGGTTAATTTAAGTTAAAGAGAGCTACCTAGAAACTAGCTTAAGCTGGGCCCAGCATTCATAACTAAGAAGTCTCAATGTCATGATTTGGGAGCTGGTTGGTGGCCCAAAAGAAAAAGCCTGGTACACTGGGGTGCTGATGCAGGATGAGGAATGAGCTGGAGCCATTGCAGAAAGCACTCTGTCCCCCCCACATCCCCAGGTGATTTTTTGATTCAGTCAACAGTGGCCAGATGCCTCTGTTTGTGCTGGGTTCCATGCCGGTTTGGAAACACCACAGTAGACTTACTGGAGCAGATGGGGCAGCGTTAAGCAAATTCTTCCCACAATAAAAGCTAGCGTACACTTTTATCTTACATTTTGTTTTCACTTTCTTTGTGTGGAGGGTATGTGTGGGTATGTTCTAGTTTGCTTTCTGTTAATGTAATAGACAGCATGACCAAAAGGGATTTTCAGATGGGTTTATTTCAACTTAAATCATCAAGGGAAACTGAGGCAGGAACTGAAAGTAGAGACTGTGGAGGAACTCTGTTTAATGGTTTGGTTCTTCTTGTTTACTTAGGTAGCTTTCTTATATAGCCCACACCCACCTGCCTAGGGATGGTGGGCCTTTCTATATCAATCATCAATTAAGAAAATGCTCCATAGGCATGCCCACAGGCCAGTCTGATGGAGGCAATTCTTTAGTTGAGGTTCCTTCTGAGGTATGTCAGGATGACAACCAAGATTAGCCATCATGCCCACAGGCCAGTGATGTCTGGAGGTCAAAGGACAGCCTCGGGTGTTGGTGAAGCTTCATCCAGAGGCTCACCTTGAGGTGCAGTCCAGGAATGCTTGATAAGTCCCAGTAAATCCCCTCTTCTTACCATTCCACTCTGTCCCAGTACATAACTTCTGCAAGCTCAGTTCTCAGCACAAGGCTTATTTGGACCAATGACACTACCATGAGTTCAACCAGTTGTGCCGATAATACATGAATGTCCTCTGTAGGAGCAGGGCTGCCATGACAGTGCCTCCTGTTCAGGAAGCCCTGGCACATCAGATTCTGTTTTATGGAAAGCAGAGTTGTCTGTCTTCAGCACACATCGATTCCTTGGCTTCTTTGAGAAGTGTGGCTTTGGGATCTGACATTAGAATCACAGCCCCTTGAACACAGAAAGGTGTAAATGGAGCGTCATCTGTGTCTAACTTCACTGCCTTATAGCCGTGATTTGAAATGCCAGTCTTTAGCACTCTCTTCAAATAATGGAGCGCTGGAATGTGGGCTGAACTTGATTTGTTTTTAACAAAGGGAAAGAGGCAGAAATGATGCTGTGTGACTTAAGGATTAGCTGACTCAAAATCATTACAATATCCAGAGCTTCTCCCCTTTTCTCTCCTCTCTCTCCCTCTGCAGGCAGTCAGCTGCGATGTCATGGGTATCCAGTGGCCACTCTGGAGCCGTCAGTGGGCAACTGAGACCTCCTGCCAAGTCATGTGTGCCAGTCACTGTGTGATCAGACCCCCAGCCTCCTGCAACTGCCGCCTCAGGTGACAGTCTGGGTGGGAAAGACTCAGCCTGAAGCACCACGCTGAGCCATCCTGTCCTGATTCTCAGGAACTCTGTAAAGCAATCATACACGTGCTGTTTAGTTGCTTTATCTAGGAGAGTTTTTGTAAAGCCCCAGTAACTGTTTGGAGCGACACTGAGATCACCCTTCCACTTGGGAGCGCTGTCGTACAGCAGTACAGCCTATGAATCTCTCCTCAACAGGCTGAGGAGAAACACTTCCATGGGACTCAGACCCACAAATCATCAAGTTGTCACTGGACACTTGTGAGTTAAGTATTTTTACCTTTTAAATATACAATTCAATTTTCATGAATAGTAAGGTTTGTCACAATATCCCATTCATATCCCATCAAGCAGATTGAGTATCCCACATGACATGTGTTAATTGCTTTGATTTTTGACAGCTAAAAATCACACCACAAATGACATATGCTTTCAAATGAGTACTTATGATGCAAAATTTTCAAATTTATAGTCTTTTTATTAGCATTGTATAAAAATATCACAAGCAAGCTTTTCCCTTAACTTTTCCCTCAGTTGTGATCAACAAAGATTTACATAAAAAAAATGTGGTTTCAGCTTACACCAATTTCTTGCTGACCTCTTAATTCATCTCTGTTATGGTAAGAACTGGAAGGTTATGAATGAATACTTTGTAGTCCAGTTAGCCAAGGATTACTTAAATGTTTCATTATGGAAAAGAAACCATTCTCGCCAAGCATAATTTGAGCTTGAGTTCCAAAAGTTATCTCATTAATAATTTTAAATGTATGATGTAATCAGAACAAGTGGCAGCTCCAGGCTTACCATCCAATGGTGCTGATTATTTTATCTTTTGTTCTGTCATTTTGGTTGACACAAAGGATAAAAATCAATAGGTGCAGGGGGCAGCTGAGCTGGTTTAGTCCCATAAAATGGGGCATCTAAGAGTCAATCTCTTATCTCTGACATAAGAGTGAGCTTCATACTGGGAGTAACCACTCCACCCTGGTGCCCAATGAGAATAAAATGCTGGACCAGGGAGCTACCCTTACCCCTGATTCTCTGGCTGCTTTTGGGGTGGGGGTAGGGGGGGTGGATTCTCAACCCAGATAGAAACCAGTTGTTTTCAGTTTTGAAGGCTCAGGGGAGGGAAAGGAAGCAGAAAACACAGGGTAAGAAAAATCTCAATTGTTCTGTGTGTGCTTTGGGCTGGGGTTCGGATGTTCAGTGAAGCTCAGTGAAGCAAGGAAGGAGGTCCCAGTGAGAAAGTTGCCCAAATGTCGGCCGAGTAGCTTGCCTCACAGGCTCCCTGCTCTTTGCAGGAGTGTAGGAGATCAGGTTGCTGCACACATCCCTGGCCTCAGCACCCACTTCAAGGTCCTCCCTTCCTCACCTCGCTCCACGGACTCTTCCCTGGGTCCCTGCACGTGGGTCCTCTTCTTGGAATGGCTGTGTGTGTGTCCCAGATCCCTAGACCATACTCAGCTTGTGTGATGTAACTCTTCTCTCTGAGTGGTCATCAGCAGGGGATGAAGGAAATCTGAAAGTCTCTGAATGAAGCAGGTAGACCGTAAGAGGAAATGGTGACAGAGTTCCTTTTCGCGTCTCTTAATTAAAAACAAAACAAAACAAAACAGCAACTAAGGTGATGTGTCAGCTACTCTTCCTGTCACTGGGACGAAATCCTTCCCACAACAGCAACTGCTGTCTGCTGAACCCCAGCGTCGGCCTATCAGCCAGTCACACTGTGCTGCTACTGAACATTGTTCTATGGTTAAAAATATATATAACTGAAACAAATTTTAAAGCAGCTTAAGAAACTTTGGATCGTAGTTGAGGGCACAGTCCATCATGGTGGGAGGTGCTGGTGACAGGGACGTGAGGTGCTGGTCACACTGCATCCACAGTCAGGAAGGGAAGGAAGTGAGTGCTGGCACTCAGCTCAGTTCCTCCTTTTACTCCTCCTCAGCCATGGGATGGTGCTGTCCCCAGTTAGCTTGGGGCTTCCCACCTCAATTAATCTAATCTAGATAATCCCTCACAGACACACCCAAGGTCTGTCTTCTTTCTATGTGACTCTAGAGCCTGTCATTCATTTCTTGAGCCTTTTCTAGTTTTAATAAAACTTCAACTCTGCTTCCCACTGGCTAATTCTGCAATTCTTTTCTGTTTCAAAGTCACAAATCCCAGTTTGCATACAGTTCCTAAAAGAATAAGAGAAGTCTTCTGCTGAGGATGACAGCGTGGAACTGAGCATCTGTCCATGTTACAGCCAACAGGATGAATATGAGAAGCTGCCTAGATGCTCTTGTGACCCCGTGGGCAATACAGGAACCACTATCACAAAGCACATTGGTGACTGCCACCAACAAGGTGAGAGTGTCCTTAGTCTCTGACCCAGCTGCCCACTCAGGCCTTTCGGCAGCATCTTTGAAGCTGAGACAGACTAACTTGTTAACTCATGAGTGAATAAAATTTCAAACCATGTGTGGTTCTTGGCCCTACTGATAACAGACTCTGCTAGCTAAGTTACCCATGGAATTGAAACCCAGCATTGACAATGTGCAGTTCTCCTCAGGTGAGCAATCTCAGGAGGATTCTATCACTCCAATGGCTCTGTCCCAGGAATGTGTTAGACTCACAGAAGAATGAGAAAGAGCCATGAGCCATTTAGCCTGCTCCCTGCTAAGATAAGAAATTGAAAAGGCAACTGGAACCAAATTGTGTCTTTGATTATTCCACAGATGAGAAACAGGTCTTACTCTATGGTATAGGCTTTTAGTCAAAACACAGCAGAACTAAAGTAGCACATTTAGCCAGATTTTAAAGATACCTACATGATACAACCCCATCCTAACAAAGAGGGGTTTGCATTCCACACTACAGGAGGATGCAAAGAATTTGCATTCTTCCTTTCCAGACAGATGGAACAGATCTTTAAAATATGAAAATAAGCTTCTGTTTTTCATTCCTCAATATTGACATGCAAAACATCAAAAAATCTTAATGAAAATTTAAAGGTCATCTTCCTTTCCACTTATTTCTATTTGATCTGTTGAGACATTTTAAACATTGTGCAAAATATTTGACTATAATTGATTTGGTTTAAAGGTTACTGTCAGGTGTTACATTTTAAATGTAAATTTGTATAATCATAATGGTAATTCTCCACCAACATTGCTATTTATATAGACTTTTTATCCATCACTCTCTAGAACCTTATTGTTTACATTGTGTGTTATATGTGTGTTCATGTGTGTGCATGTTCATGTGTACACAGATACACATATGTGTATGTGTGCATGTGGAGGCCATAACTTGAAATGTGTTTTTGTTGTTGTTGTTGTTGTTGTTTTTTGAGATAGAGCTTCTCACTTGCCTGGAACTCCATCATGCTACACTGGCTGGTCACGGGCCAGGATCTATCTTTCTCTGCTTTCTTGGTGTGGGATTACAAACCCACAGCATCAGACCAAGTTCTTTCTTTGTCTTTTTCTTTTCTTTCTTTTTTTCATCTCTTTTCTTTTTGGTGTGAGTTATGGGAATGAACAAGGTACTCATACTTGAAAGGCAAATACTTTTCTGCCTGGATTATGTCCTAGCCCTAAGTCCTAAGTTTCCACTTTAAAATATATTTATTTTTAAGTGTATGTGTGTTTGTATATGGGTGTGCTATAAGAGGAAATTGGATTCCCTGGAGCTGGAGTCACAGGCTGTTGTGAGCTACCTTATATGGGTGCTGAGAATCAAACTCTGGTTCTCTGCAAGAGTATCAGGTGCTCTTAATCACCGAGCCATCTCTTCAGCCCTAATTTTCATTTTAAAAAATATTTGCTTGATACCATCCCAAGATTTTCAAACATGAATACTACAAATGGAATTTTAAGTCACATCTTAGTCATGTTGGGAAGAGACAAATCTGTAACAACCACAGAGCTACTTCAAGATGCCGGAGGATGTTTGGGGCAGCACACAGAAGTATGTTCCCTTTAAGCAGAGTTTTAAAGACTCTATTCCATAAGGCCTGGGTAGAATACAGGGAAACCATATAGCATGGTTGGCAATCTAACCTTGTTGCAGTGTTTTGAATAAGAATGGCCTTCATAGGCTCATATTCTTGAATGCTTTAGTCACCAGAGATTGGCACCATTTGAAAGGATAAAAAAAGATTAGGATATGTGGTCTTGTTGGAGGAGTGTGTCACTGGGGGTGGGTTTTGACGTTTCAAATGCTCAAGCCAGGCCCACTATCACTTTTTCTTTTTGCTAAGTGCAGATCTGGATGCAGAACACTCAGCTACTCTCCAGCACCATGTGTGCCTGCTACCATGCTCCCCACCATGATGACAATGGACTATGTAGATGTAACCAACGGTCTTATTAAATAAGAAACACAGAGCCAATTCAGAGAAGAAAGCCAAGAGGTCAGAGCTAAGAGCCTCACCCTTCCTGATTCAGGGATCCTCTTCAGCCAAGAGAGCTCTCCGAAAAGGACCTACTTCCTGTGTGTACGTCTTTAAAATCTTCCTGTTCTGCCTTCTCATTGGTTGTAAACCCAAACATGTGACTGCCTCATCACTGCCTGAATGTACCGCCCTCCAGGTCCTTAAAGGCATGCGCCACCACCGCCATGCACTTGCTATGGCTCTAATAGCTCTGACCCCTAGACAACTTTATTTATTAACATATAATTAAAATCACATTTCAGTACAAGTAAAATACCACCACAGGACTAAACCTCTCAAACTCTAAGTAAGCCCCAGTTAAACGCTTTCCTTTATAAGAGTTGCAGTGGTCATAGTGTTTCTTCACAGCAATGGAACAGTGAGTGACTAAGACGCTAGTGATGGCCGGGAGTCACCACCATGCTAGCTCGAGAGCCAAGCAGCAAGAGAGTTACTCAACCATAGGGAAGACTTCCTGGCCACAGCTATGGCCTTCTGTGGATGACACAACCAACTCGCCAGCCTGCAGTGACTCAGCACAGAGAGAGCCAAATAATGAAGCCTGTGACCTCCTCCTTCTTCTACCCAGTCCCCTGCCCATGCCTCAGCAACCAAACCCATCCAGAGGCAGAGAACAAGGAAATCACTGCTGTGGTCCATGGGCTGAGCCAGCTTCTTGGGACATAGAGAAAGAGGAAGAAAGACAGACAAAGAACCTGTTTAATTTGCAGCTATGAGTGTTGCACATGAGGAAGGGCTCGGTTTTGCAAATTTCCTTAAGAGACATTTTTGTTGCTGAAAGAAATCAAGGACTCCTGTCTAAAGACCGAGGCAAGCTAGAAGTCATGTAGGATCTGAGTTGTCATGCTGGAGACAGCCAGAGGTTATTTAGTGAGTCATTCTTAAACGATGAAGATATTTTAAAATAACTCTAGGGGGAAAATGTATTAGGATGTGTATGCCAAGTATAAAAACTTTTAAAAAGCCAGCACTCTTGCCTCAATTTTTTGTAGTAAAACCCCAACTTATTGAACTGGAAATGGCAGCTTGAGAAGGATGGATATTAGACAATTTTTCTTATTTTTCTTAGAAACCATCCAGAAGGAATAAGCACACTGAGAAACAGAAGAGCAAACACCACTTTTGGCATCACAAGGTGAAACTCAAGCCACACAAACTGCAGAGGGAGTGGTTCCAGTGGGTAGTCAAGAGGTATGTTCACAGTTGGTGATTTCAGAGAAGGCTGATGGACATTCCATGTTAGAGAGTTTGGAGGAGAGGGTGGCAAGCCAAGCCTAAGCCGGAGGGCAATATGCAGAGATGAGAGGTGGAAGGGATGTGGGCAGGGCTGAACAAAAGTTCATAAACCACACATTTGTAGGTTGGTCTCAGTCTGCCAGCAAGAAGACCATTGTGGAGCCTAGAATATGGCTTTAGATGGTATAAGCTAAGTCAATTCACCATCTAAACCCTGACTTTGAGAGAGAGAGGGAGAGAACAGAGGAGAGGGGGAAGACCGGAATGGGCCAGGGACATGGAGGAATTTTCAAGGGTGTGACCCCAGTTACCTGCTTCCTCCAACTAGTCTCCACCTCCTAATTTATGTCTTTCCCAATACTGCCACCAAATTATGAATCCACCATTAGATTCATTCATGTAATAGGTCAGAATCTCATGACACAGTGGCTTCCCTAAAGTTCTTCCCCTGATACTGCTGCACTGGGGACGAGGCCTTCACCATGTGAGCCTTGTAGGGGACACTTCATGTGCCAACCATAATAACACACACACACACACACACACACACACACACACACACACACACACACACACAGAGCAAAGGCCTTTGTAACAGTAGGACAAGGTGAAAGTGAACTGATGAGATTGGCTAGTTAGAAATGGAGAGCACCTGCACCCAAAAGAAACAAAAATAAATGCTCAGTCAGCACAGGGAAACTCAGAAGAGCTGAGGAAAGACTGACACCTGTATTGAGGAAAAAGGACTTTTTACTCTTCTGTAAAAAATTTTATAATTAAGAAGAAAATTGGGCACACTGTACAGAAAATTCATACAAAATGAAATTCAAATGTATCCACATTAAGAGATGTTATTAACCTGGAATAAAAGAAAGGCAACTTAAAACATTGTTTAAATTTTATTCTGGTCTACAGAGTAAGGTCCTGGTCCTGGTCCTATTCTGCCTGCATGTATACCTGCAAAAAAGAGGAGGGCACCAGATCTCATTAAAGATGGTTGAGAGCCACCATGTAGTTGCTGGGAATTGAACTCAGGACGTCTGGAAGAACAGTCAGTGCTCTTAACCACTGAGCTATCTCTCCAGCCCTGGCACATGGCTTTCTTTAATCCAGTACTTGGGAGGCAAAGGCAGGCAGATCTCTCAGTTCGAGGCCAGCCTGGTCTACAGAGTAAGTTCCTGGTCCTGGTCCTGGTTTTTTGCCTGAATTTATCAAATGTTAATGGACTAGATTACATAATGTAATCTTGACTGTGTATATTGTATATACTTATTGGATATAATTTTTCTTGTATTAGTTATAAGCTTTTTTTTTAAGTTTAGACAAAAAGAGAGGAAATGTGTTGGTATTGTGTTCACCAAAATATTGTGAACCCTAATAAATTTTGGTCCTGGTCCTGGTCTTTTGAGACATTGTCTCTGAGTGGTGGCAGCACATGACATTTTTTTAATTTTTTTATGGTTTAGCTATTTATTATACTTTTTTTTTTTAAAAAAAGATTTAGCTATCCAGCCTGACAGACTACTCGAGAAAGGACTTATGACAAGCCCTAAACTTTCCTTTTATGCAGAGACTGGACAAATGATACAGGATTTGACAATTAACCCAAAAATTTTCTTTTCAAGATTTCCTAAAGATATCTTCACCACTAGAAAGTAAAAAGAAAAAGAGAATATAGATATGAGATAGATCATTGAATCTACTCTGAAAAAAAAGATAAAGAAATAATAGGATAAATAGGTAGATCACTGAATCAGCACTGAAGAAAAGGGGGAAGATATAAAAATGACAAAAGGTAGACTACTGAATGTATTATGAAAAGAAAAAAGAGAGAATATGGTTATCATAAGATAAAAAGGGAGATTATGGAATCTACTTTTAAAAAGGAACTACTTGTTTTAAAGAAGATAAGTAATGAAAAAATTTTGGTCTGAGTTTATCAGATGTTACTGGACTGGACATTGTTAATATATATAATGGAGTTTTTATCTGAATGTGTCAAATGTTAATGGACTAGACATCATTAATGTAATTTTGGCTGTATATATTGTATATACTTATTGCATAGTTTTCTTGTATGAGTTATAAGCCTTTTTTAATTTTAGACAAAAAGAGAGGAAATGTGGTGGTATTGTGTTCACCAAAATATTGTGTACCTTAATAAACTTATATATACTTTTTTTAAAAAAAAGATTTAGCTATTTATTATATACATATTCTGATTAGAGATGGTTGAGAGCCACCTGGTCCTGGTCCTGGTCCCCCAAAAATATTGTGAACCCTAATAAATTTTGGTCCTGGTCCTGGTCCCCCCAAAATATTGTGAACCCTAATAAATTTTGGTCCTGGTCCTGGTCCTGGCCCTGGGCGGAACCACAAACGGTGGTGGGGCCATGGAGGCAGCGGCAGATGCTCCGAGTTGCTGGCTTCTTCTTATCGTGTTGGTGACTGCGGTGATGCTGCTACCTGGGACAAAGGGTTTACTGCTGCTGGTTCAGAGAAGAATTGCCAGGACCATCGTGTTACAAGAAAGCATCGGCAAAGGTCAGTTTGGAAAAGTTTGGCATGACAAATGGTGGGGAGAAATTGCTGTGAAGATTTTCTGTTCTAGGGAAGAATGTTCAAGATTCCAAGAGACAGACATTTATCAGACTGTGATTGCTCCAAACCACAGAGGAGGCAAAAAAAAAAAAAAAAAAAAAAAAAAAAGTCTGCAGGGAACCATCACCACGCCTAACAGCAACTTTGAAATCTTCAAAAAGACGACAGGACTCCACAATGATGATTCCACATGGACTATGGTAAAGCCATTAAGCCAATTAACACCATGGAAAAATTTACTTTGAACTACAAACTGGTCAGGACAATTTCGAGATGACTAGCTGAGATGATCCAGCCTGACAGATTACTCGAGCAAGGACTTGTGACAAGCCCTGAACTTTCCTTTTATGCAGAGACTGGACAAATGATATAGGACTTGGCAATTAACCCAAAAATTTTTTCAAGATTCCCTAAAAATATCTTCACCCCTAGAAAGCAAAAATAAAAAGAGAATAAGATATGAGATAGATCATTGAATCTACTCTGAGAAAAAAAATAAAGAAATAATAGGATAAATGGGTAGATCACTGAATCTACACTGAAGAAAAAGGGGAAGATATAAAAATGACAAAAGGTAGACTACTGAATGTATTATGAAAAGAAAAAAGAGAGAATATGGTTATCATAAGATAAAAAGGGAGATTATGGAATCTACTTTTAAAAAGGAACTACTTGTTTTAAATAGGATAAGTAATGAAAATTTTTTGGTCTGAGTTTATCAGATATTACTGGACTGGACATTGTTAATATATATAATGGAGTTTTTATCTGAATGTGTCAAATGTTAATGGACTAGACATCGTTAATGTAATCTTGACTGTGTATATTGTGTATACTTACTGGTTATAATTTTTCTTGTATTAGTTATAAACTTTTTTAAATTTTAGACAAAAAGGGAGGAAATGTGGTATTGTATTCCCCCAAATATTGTGCATGCTAATAAACTTATCTGGGGTCAGAGACAGAGCAGTCACAATATTAAACATAGAAGTTAAGCAGTGGTAGCACACACCTTTTAATCCTAGCATTCCAGAGGCAGAAATCCATGTGTTCAAGGATACAGCTAAGCATGGTGACTCACGCCTTTAATCCCAGAAAGCAAGCCTTTAATCCCAGGGAGTGGTGGTAGAAAGCAGAAAGATATATAAGGCATGAGGACCAGAAACTAAAGGCATTTAGCTGGTTAAGCATTAGGCTGGTTAAGCTTCAGGCTTTTGAGCAGCAGTTCAGCTGAGACCCATTGGGATGAGGACACAGAAGTTTCTAGTCTGAGGAAACAGGAACAGCTGAGGATCCAGCGAGGTGAGGTAGCTGTGGCTTGTTCTGTCTCTCTGATCTTCCAGTATTTACCCCAATAACTGGCCTCAGGTTTGATTTTATTCATAAGAACTTTTAAGATTCCTGTTACATCTTATGTACTTGCTCATGCTTATGTAGCAAGTACTACCACCTAGGCCATCTCCTCAGCCCTTAAAACATTCTTTAACTGGATTGATAGATTTCATTTCTGACCAAACCAGAGGAAGCCCACTGCAGCCTGTGCTTTATTGCTAGAACATCTGGTAATGAATACAGTAGTAACGACGTAAGTGGTGGCAGGTAGACTGGACAGGGACTTGGAAGTGTGGGATGATGAATATCTTCATTTTTTTGTTGTTGTTGTTGTTTTGTTTTTTTCCTTCCTCTCTACTACCTGCTGGCTTTGATCAGAAGGCTGAAAGGGAAACTACCCATCAGAAATGATTAGAAAACAAGTTGAGGAAACCTTAGCATCCACCACAATGAAAGGAGACAAGGCTGCTGGAGCGAGATAAAGTGCTGGGAACCACTCAGGGTTTTCCTTTCTGAGATTTGCCTGGTCAAGAAGCTGACGCCTAAGACAGAGAGAGAAAAACTGTCCACCTTCCTCACGCCGCAGCCCCTCAGTTTAATACAGTTTGATACAGTTCTTCAGTTGTGGTCGCTGAAGGGCTCTAACAGGTAGGAGCACGGCAAATGTGGTACTGACAGGTTCTGTCCTTTTCTCTCTTCCTTGCTAAAAACTGTTAGACTACATTTCTAAAGTTAGCCCCCAAAGTACATTCCCTTATTTGGCCACTGACTCATTCCTGAGACTAAACATCATGGTCCAAAAATCAAATTTCATTATTTGGCTAACATGTCCAGTCAGGACGTACCAACTCACTCTAGCACAGACTCTCACTTTTTCTCCTTGAAAATCCACTCCTGCAAAAAACACCTGCTCTGTGCTGCTGCTAATGCTGCTGTTTGCTGTCCCCACGCCCCACCCCTGTGCTAAGAGTTTGGTGTCTGAGTGTGTCCTGTACTGACTCAGAGGGGGCCGCCCACCTGTAGACAAATTTCTAAACAGTCTTATTAAATAAGAAACACAGAGCCAGAGTTAAAGCCAAAGAGATCAGAGCAAGAGCCATCTAGCTTTAGCTTACCACCAGCAGTAGCTTCCCCCCAGAGAGTTTCCTCCTGTCTGACTTATCTTTTTATTGCCTTTCTGTTCTGCCTTCTCATTGGCTCTAAACCCAACCACATGATTTCCTCGTCCTTCCTGTCTATACAGACCTCCAGGTCTCTATGGTTGGTACTGGGATTAAAGGTTCTGTCACCACGCTTGGCTGTGTCCTTGACCACACAGAGACTCTGCCTGCCATGTGATCGGATTAAGGGCATGGGCTACCACTACCTGACTTCTGTTCTTGGCTCGCTAATGGCCTCTGATCTCCAGGCAAACTTTATTTATTAACATACAAATAAAATCACATTTCAGCACAATTAAAATATCACCACACCCACCCTTACAGTGACCCCAACCATAAAATTATTTTCATTTCTATTTCATAACTGTAACTTTGCTACTGTTATGAGTCATAATGTAAATATCTGTGTTTTCCTGTGGTCTCAGACCATCCCTGTGAAAGGGTCATTTGACCCCCAAAGGGTTTGTGACCCACAGATTGAGAACCCCTGTTCTAGAGGGAACAACTGGAAAGGGGGGGGGGCTCTTAGGAGCCACAGAGAATGGAGCTTTGAAAGGGGTGTTGAAGTGGCCTAATTCTGGGTGGTGGTTTGTTATGTAGCAAAGGATAATTAAGACAAGGGTTCATGCCTGTCCTAGCCTGCTTAGATAAAACATGGACCAAAAACAACTTGGGAAGGAAAGGATTTATTTGGCTTACAGTCCATCATCAAGGGAAGTCAGGGCAAGAACTCCAGGCAGGATTCTGAGACAGGACATAGAAGAACACTGCTTCCTGGCTTGCTCAGTTTGCTTTCTTAAACTGCCAGGTCCCACTGACTTTTACCTCCCACATCATCGATAAAATGCCCCACAGATGTGCCTATAGGCCTGTCTGATGCAGGCCATTCCTCAATGTTCCTTCTTCCCAGGCGACTATAGCTTGTGTCAGGTTCAAGAAAACTCTTCCCCAGCATGCACAAGGCCCTGGATTCAATCTCCAGCATAAAGATTGTCTGAGCAAAAAGGATTTAAAAAATATTCCATTCAAACGATGTTTTTAGAATATTTCCAATCAAATGCCAAAAGATGAAGTTATATATAGGATAAATATAAGTTCAGGGGGTGAGAAAGCAGGAACCCTGCAACTATAATCCACAAGTCTACCAAGGCTCTAATTGTTGAAGTTCGTGACCGATTTTTTGTCTTGGTTTTCTGAAAGAAGAGAGCTTCAGGACCCTGCCGAATCGCAGCCAAGAACTGCTCCTTAAGGCAGAGATGGGGCTAGGAGAAACAGCCTCCAAAGCGGCAAACCTCCGGGGGTGGCTTTATCTAGCCTCAGCGAGAAGCGAGGGAGTCGATCCTGCTTGGCCTGGGGCAGAAACCGGAAGGGTGTGGAGGGTGGAGGCCGCAGGGTAGAGGTGGGAGGTTTTCTGGAGAGTTCTAGGAGGCACAAGGGGATGAGGAACCCCACGGATCCCTGAAGGCAAGGTTTCAGTTACAGATCGGATCTGAGCTTCTCATCGCCTGGAACAACTAAAACGAGACTTGTGCTCACACTGGATTCTGATCTAAGAGATTAAGAAAAGGACGTCGTTACGGAGCCAATCCCTTCCATTTCCTACCCTACACAGCAGAGCTAGCCAGGGAGTCCGCATCGCAATCCGACCACAATGACAGCCAGCGAGGCCCCACCTTCCCGCCGAGGCTCCACCTCTGCCTTGTTCGAATGACAACAGGCCAGGTCCCGCCCCAAGAGAGGCTCCGCCCCACTCGCCGCAGCCCCGCCTCCACCCAACTCTCCGCAGTGGCAGCGGGCGAGGCCCCGCCCATTCAGCCCTGCTCTATCCCACCAAAATGATAGCCCTCAGGGCCACGCCCATTCCCCTGAGGACACGCCCCCCTCCCGAGCGACAGCCAGTGAGGTTTCACCCTACACACTCTGCCCCATTTCCTTCCGATTTACAACTACCGAGGCACCGCCCTTTCACCGTGGTCCTGCCCACCCGGACCGAGTGACAGCCGGAAGGCCCCGCCCCACCCGGTCGTTGACGCCCCC